TGGACGTGACCAGTGCCACTGTGCACACAATAAGCACAAAATAGCCGCCGGCCTTGTCTTCTACTCCAGCACCAAACCCCTCCCCCGTTCCGTTTAGGAGAAGCCTTGTGAATTCCACATAACAGAAACCCTTTTGTTGTTGCAAAGGTGCAATTCTCCACCCTGGTCGCACAGCTTCTGCATTAGCATAATGCCCCTCCTTGATTGTATCAGCCAGCCCTTGGCACCCTATATAAGCTCTCCCACCCTTTTGAGCGCAGCCAGGCAGATTCTTTTCCTTTAATAAAGCTTGATCAGTACCCTGCATTTTGGCTCACTTTCTTTCAGTCAGCAGGCCCACTTTCGTTCAATCACGTATCATATCACTATGAAAACCACACCATTAACTATGATAACCGCCCCCTTCCTTAGGTGCTGTGAAAGTAACCTGCCCATGCTTACACAGTGAGTTACTGGCAGACCTGAGATTAGAACCTGGGTCTTGTAAGCCCAATCTAGGGGCCCTGGCACACAAATCACGGCATAAAGTGGTCTGTTGATACCTGTATAATCTACGGCTGTTAATACACTTACGTTTGCAAGTTTACTGTACTTTCTAAAAGATGATCAGTGTATTTACAATCAGTAGATACAGTGAGACATCTGCCTAAGAACAGCTTTCATGGTAACTATTTCTCAAACAAGAATCATGGTTTATCATAAAATAAGATTCTACAATGTTTGAAAAATAAAGGAAAAGAATCCACCACTCTGAATAAAGTCCTTATTCACAGTAACTTGTACTATAATTCCAAACTTCTCTGTGTGGCCTTGAAGGGACCATTGCAAATGCTCTGACCCTGTGTTCATGACTCACTGTGCCTTGCCTTGACCTGCCCCACATCACTCCTTTACTCACCCTGCCTAGAGACGGATCACTTTCTTTCTTATATGCCACTGTCTCTGTGAGCCCCACTCTCTCCCACCAGCAGCCACCGCCACTGCCTCTCCTCCTCTCCTTCCCCTGCCCCAGTACTTCTGCAGCTCACCATGCTGTGTCTGGTTTTACAGCTCCATGAGTCTTTCCAGATTGTGAGCAGTTTGTATTTGGTATAGCATCAAACACAGCACAAAGTCAATGGCCAGTCAAATATTTGAAGTACATATTTTTCAATTATATTAAATAAAAAAGCAATGTGAAAGGTTTAAGCAAAAAAACAAGAATCGAATGAATCTATTTTAACATAAACCTAAGTAAATACAGATCCACAATCTCTTCTCTAGAATCCGAAACCAAAATGGCTCAGAAAACAGAAAGCATCTGAGTAAGTTTAGAGCAAACTCTTTGATGACAAATCCTGACTGAACAGATGAAGGTCACTGAGAGTCCTTACCGATCACATGCAGAGGCAGAGTGAATCATCAGGGTCAGCTGTAGAAGACCCTGGTGGGAGTGTTACTTTGTAAAATCTGGCCAGTTGTCAGGCTTCAAGGGATTGCAGGTTAAGGGACTGGGGATCGCTTCATTTGCCCACTCAGTTCAGCTGAGTACCTACCATGAAACAGGATCTATGCCAGGGCGTGGGGACACAAGGAGGAAAACTCCAGTCTCAGCCCAGAAGGACCTCACATGCCCATGGAAACCCCATGTGTCACACACGTCGATTTATAAGGAGCATGCCCAGTGGGACCCGTACCTGGTTCACGGTGAACCCGTGGATCTTTTCTCCTACTTGATACTGCAGGGCCCTCTCACAGGCCGGGTCACTCCTCCACCTCCATACCATGTGGTGTGCACTGCTGTACTTGAGAAAAGTCATAGAAGTTAGAAGATTTGTAGGAAAATCATTTTGGCTAACATAATTCAGCAACATAATGAAAATATTGCCATGTGATAAAGACAATTAACTAAAGAAAAATTAAATCTTGCATCTTCCAAAATCTCACACATTCCAAAAAACTAATTTGTAGTAAAGATCTGTCCATTTTAACGTTTTATCTCAATTCAGATAAAACTTTGTAATATCAATTATTAAATGTTGAAAACCTTTTATTTGTACATGTTCACAAATAACCATAAAACAATTATGATACAAATTTCCCTTAATTGTATAAAAAACGACTGTGTCAAAATGGCTTTTTTCCATTGCAGAATCCTTACAGGCCCTCACAGAATATCAATAAACTCAACTACAATAAAATTCCATTACATACTTACCAAACTAGTGAAAACTAAAAAGCCTAACAGTACCAGGAACCCTCATACACTACTGGGAGCGCAAACTGGAAAAGCATTTGGCATCATTTAGAAAAGCTGAAGATTAGTAATTCATTCACCTCTTTGTATACTCATACATCTTTGAACTTGTACTGTGAACTAGCACACATGTGTGAGAATGTGGGCACTAATCCTAATAGTCCCAACCTCAATCAACCCAGATGCCCATCAACAGAGAACGGATAAACTTAGCAATAAAAATGGACTGACTACAACTACATGTAACAAAGATGTAGTTCACATAATGTTGAACAAAAAAATACAAAAGATAGACACAGTACTATTTTAAAAAGGTATTATTCAGACAGGTAACACCGTGTTGTAGGAATGTATATAGAAGGTAAAAATATAAAAATAAGCAAGGAAATAATTTCTGTACATCAGGAGAGTGATTATCTAAGAGGAAGGGAGAGGGTTATGAGCAGTTAGGGCCAGTCTTAAACCTGGTAATGGTAACACACTTATAGTTATTCTCTCAAACTGTATTATGGGATTTTCTACGTTAACGTCATATCTCACAGAAACACTTTTAAAAATGATATGTACAGGGAAAAAACACTGATTAAGTTAACACCAATATACTATNTCTGTAGGGCTGGGGGAGATTAAAGGACGTCCAGCTGGGGCCCCGCCAGGTGCCTGAGCCTTCTGGCGCGGTGGCTTCGGTGATAAGTCCCGAGGGCTGCACTCGCAGGTCGGTCTCCAGGGCCATGATGTTAGGGACGTTCCGATAGGTGCCCGAGCAGAATGTCCCCAGCAAACCGCAGGACAGCTCAGACCCCGCACAGTGGGTGTGGGCCAGTGCTGCTTCTAACCTCGTTTCTCTCTGCATTTCGGATCTAGGAAGACTGCGCCTGTGTGTTCTAAGATTTCCAAAGTACCCCGTCCCCGGGGCCCTTCAGCAAACGCAGGGAGAGGCCTGAGGAGGCCAGTGCGCGAGTGGAGTGGGCCCTGATGCTGTGGGCTGGAGGGGACATCGGGGATTAACCACACCTGAGAAGTGTTTGGTGGGACTTGGAGGAAGTCAGGGCCCAAGTCTGACAGTGTCGGCTTCGCTCCTTTCTTCAGTCTTCTTCTGTCTTTCCCCTTGGCCCACTAATGCACACACTCTATTCACCTCTACCTTCTCCCAGGCTCTGAAGAAAAAGTGCTAAGTAGACGGCTACAGTCGGTTTGAACACGTAAAGCTTTTGACAGCAGTGTAGAGTAATTCGAGTACTGTAACGAAAAGCCACAATACTCTACCCAAAACTTCGCAGTATAGTGCAGCCGATTCTGCAGTTAACCAAGTTCTTATTGATAGACCCAAATGAACCAAAGATGATAATAAGAAGTTACTGA